CACCACCAGCTGTGGCAGTTGGGGTTTCTGGGAGATATAGTCCAAGAACACCTAGATACCTAAGGCTGGGAGCCACTAAACTAGAAGATTTGCATTAGAAGATTCTACCTGATAAACTGATATAAACTCACCAGGAAATAGTTTGCAATCTGGACTGCTTGTAGAGCAATCCAGTGAAATATTTTCCCCAATGATCACATGATGCATGGGGAACTGCACGCCAGACCAATCCCACTCCATCCTCAAGCTGAAACTTTTTGGCCCACCTGTAAGGCCTCTCTTTTTTGGGTCAGAGGCTGGAGCAATTCTCCAGCAGATGGAAGGTTCGCTTTAAATGAGATTGCTGTCTTGTGTGATCAGGCATGCACCTTTACAGCCACCTGATTGCTCCCTTAGTTTGTACAAGAGAGAGCACTCTGGAAGTTGAATCATGGCAACTTGACTTCTTTCTTATTAGGTTGAAAATGTTTTGCTGCTCATCCAAGTAGCTTCTTCAGAGAGGGTTGTGTTTGTGTGTGAAGTGACAGAGTCCAGCTCATCACATCCTTTACCACTCTGGTGTCAGTAAGAGATGCTCACTCTCTATTTCAAGATCATCAATGGATTCAGGAAAGATGGAACCTGGGCTGCACAATACCTTGCATCAGGGTGGCACTCCAGCAGAGCCAGGGAGAATCTACAAGGTCATAAGCAGAACTATTACAGATTCTCAGTGACTAATGGCAGTCTTGCAAACCATGTATTTTTACTGACTTTTCAGGTCTGGACCCCTGGCTTAGTTGACAGAACACAGTTCAAAAAAAAAAGCAAATCAATCATATCCTGGCTGATTGGTAATGCTACTTCAGATTTAATTTTAACAATGGGTTAAACTTTCCTTTCCAGGAAAGCACAATACAATATTTAACACAGTAAGTGTTAGCATTATCAGGTACTTTTACTTGCAGCGTGTCACGCCCTAATACTAAATTTGTGACTGTTCTGGAGTCTGGTAACAGGGCCAAAAGATACTGTTTATTTACTCAGGAAATCTATTTAGGAGAACAGGAGAGACAGCGTACTTCCTATATCCTAGGAACATAAGACCATAAAAAGTTGCCTTATGTTGAGTCAGACCACTAGTATTGTCAGCTCTGAATGGCAGTGGCTCCCCCAAATTTCAGCCAGGAAATTTGCCTCTCCTAGCCCTATCTAGACATTCATGATCTTGTGGCTTGCAATCCAATCAAGAACCAGGTAAAACACTGCTTAGCATGTGAAATCGACTGTGATCCAAGTGGTATGATGGTAAGAAAGTGTAGTTGGCTGCCCTTGGTAATAGAATCCCCCAGAGCTGGGTTTCCTGTGTGCAGACCTGTCTCTTTAGAATGGAAAAGCAAAAAAGCAGGAAGTGGCCTCAGAGAAGAGGACGGAAGCGTCTGCATTTGGATTTAGAACAAACAAGAGACAGAAGGATACCTAAGCTGTCTACCTGCCACTTGTTCCCAATGCCCTCCCCTTGTGTGTGGTTCAGATCGCTTGCCACATGCCTTGGTGTTGTGTTCCAAGAATCAGACACCGCAATTTCAAACTGGAAGGGATCAGGTGTGTGATGGCTCGCAACGCTGTTGTGTAAAACTAGACTTTATAGAGGTGTTAGGCAGAGGTGGGATTGATTCCTTTCTGAACCTCTGAGGAAAAACTTCCCTCTCATTGTATTAGTAAGTACTATTAGCATGGTAAAATCACCCCCTTTTCTCAAGCCCTGAATTTTAGAAAATTAAATAATGCTTTGTTAAAAAAAACTATCTTGTGTTTTATTAAACACCAGATTTTCTTGCCAGTGTGAGACTGACCCTCCATATTATTCTAAAGTTAGAGTGTCCTGGACTTGATTAATCAGTCCAGACTTATAAATGTTGCTGTCTTGTGCGGAGCAGATCTGTTTAAACAAACCCTGCCCATTTGTATTTGCTAAGCAGGAAAGCCAGATGGCAAAGATTGCACTGGGCCTATTTGACCATGCCATTCCCAGCTGTGAAATGTTTCATGATTCACAACATGCAAGCACAGTTTATAGCAAAGGTATTCCCCTCGATTCACTGTGCACTATGCATTCATTTGATGAATAAGGGCATCTGGTTGCAGCATCCCATTTTGTTTTGGCAAATCTCCTCTAGTCACTTGCTGGCCATAGCTGTAACAATCCTGATATCTGTATGTGGTAATTAGAAATGTTTGTGACCACAGAATAGCAGACTCTACTGTTCTCATTCAGCATGCAACCTACGAAGATGTGTAGATGGATGCTACCTCTACCAGGAACACAGGTCTGGCTCTACCATTAGGCAAAGGGAGGTAGATGCCTTAGCCATGTGATGAGAGCTCATCACAGTACTGATGAGAGATGTTGGAGAACATAACTATGTGTCACATACAACCTGCCCTCTATATTCTAAACTAGCGTGCTGCTCTCAGGTGAATTGGAGGACATCTCCAGTACTGAAGTTAGCTACAACTCCACAACAGATGGCTTATGTGTGTGAAAAGGGAGCCATCTTCTCCATCGCCTCAGGTTGGGCCCAGCTTCCAAAAAAAAAAAAAAAAAAAAAAAGCAATAAGTGCAGTATAAGGCCATACATTGGCTTGAAAGGATTAATTTTGGTGATATTTTCTTTATTTGTATCAGAGTATTGCACAATTTAAAATTATGATCATATATGAAGTACTGTATAGGTAAAATTAAAAACAAATTAAAATATTAAGATAGTTTTTGACCAGAAGTAGGATACTTCCAGCCAGTCCTGGTGGGAGACACTGCTTAGCATTCATCCATTTGGCTGAAGTGCATGGCCTTGGTACATGTGCCAATGATCTCCAGGACTGACTACTGTAACACTCTCCACACAGGGCCTCCCTTGAGGTTGACCCACAGAGTGCAGCAGGCGAAGTTGCCAGGTTGGTGGAGGATGTGAGTAAATACTCGGCATGCCAGCACTGGTTATCAGTGACATCTCAGGTCAAGTTAAATGTATTGGTGCTCACCCATAAAGCCTTCCACACTTTGGAACCCCATTACTTGGCAGATAATCTTTCCCTGAGATCATCTACCTGCATCACCAGATCCTCCCAGGCAAAGCTAGAAGCCAGGCCCTCCCAGCTGTGGCACTAAACCTTGGGAACTGGCTCCTAGTCAAGCTGCATCTGGACCCCTCCCTGCCCACCTTTAAGAGGTTGCTGAAGAATTTGCTCTTCAGAGGCTTTTGATTGCAACCTTTTATAAATTTTTGCCTTGTGCTCCGTCATTCTATTATGAAAATGTTGCACTATCTCAAGTTTTGAATTAATATGATTTGACTGTTCTCTTTAAGATTTTCATTGGTCTTTTCCCATTGTTTGTTTGATTGTAATGACTGTTAACCACCCAGAATAGTGCATTGCACTAATGGGATGGTAAATACAAAACTATAATTCCTTTCCATTCCCCATCATCCATATGCAAAGCTGTTCCTCCTCACCCCCTCCACAAAGATCATACTTCTGTGGAGCGGTCATTTTTATTTGTGCATTTTGTATACTAATATGCTTCCATTTTTATCCTATGTAAACTGCCCAAGGAACATATCTGAAAGAATAGTCCCACTAATGGGATGGTAAATACAAAACTATAATTCCTTTCCATTCCCCATCATCCATATGCAAAGCTGTTCCTCCTCACCCCCTCCACAAAGATCATACTTCTGTGGAGCGGTCATTTTTATTTGTGCATTTTGTATACTAATATGCTTCCATTTTTATCCTATGTAAACTGCCCAAGGAACATATCTGAAAGAATAGTCCTACATTTAAAATAAATACACCCACCATCACCCAGGTTTTGCTCCTCTGAATGTCACTGAGAGGCTATCCTATCACTATCAGACACAGAGACCGAGAATCGTCAGTAGTGAGGAAAAAAGGTTTTTACACATGCCCAAAGGCAATCTTTTTTCTTTCTTTTTCTTTTTCTTTCTTTCTTTCTTTCTTTCTTTCTTTCTTTCTTTCTTTCTTTCATTCATTCATAAGGGGTGACATTGCATGTTCCATTAATGCTTGAGCCATGCCACTCAACACACCATGGTTTAAGTATTTGTTAAATTACGTGCCCTCAAGTTGCCTCTGATTTATGGTGACCCTATAAATGAGAGACGTCCAAAATGTCCTGTCCTCAACAGCGCTGCTCAGCTCTCGTAAACTCAACCCTGTGGCTTCCTTTAGGGAGTCTGTCCATCTTGTATTTGGTCTTCCTCTTTTCCTACTGCCTTCAATCTTTCCCAACACTACAGTATTGTCTTTTCCAGAGAATTCTCCATTCTCATGATGGGCCCAAAGTAGGAAAACCTGTTTCAACATTTTTACCTCAAATCAATTCCACTTGATTCGATCTAGGACCCATTTGTTCATCGTTCTGGCATTCCAGAGTATCCACAAAACTCTCCTCCAGCACATTTCAAACGAATCAATATTTTAAACATTCTTGACGTCCAGCTTTCACACCTATACATGGTGATAGGAAATACAAGAATGTGGATGATTTTGGTTTAAGTATCATCACCCTTTTAATAGTTTTTACTTAAAGGTGTTAACACCCTGCTTTAAGAAAACGTTTATATATATATATATATATTTTTTTTAAAAAAAGGGAAGAGAGGAAGCTAGGAGAGAAAGTGAAATCTCTCTCAGAGGAAAAAGGCCAAGAGTGGCGCCCACTTTCGAGTAGGCCAGGCTAACGAAAGCCCACTTCCCTGTGACAACAAGGAAATGCCCGCCTCAGAAAACTCGCACGGTCCGCCTTGCTTGTTGCCTCAGCTTCTTCCCCCAACAGACACGAGAAGGTGCAGCCGGGCAGCCCCGCTCCCGCCAAGTTTCCAGGCTCCTCTGGTGTTGAGTTACGAGGAAGAAATGGGAGCCGGGCAGGCGGGAAGGAGGGCGGGAGGCAGGCGGGGCGGGGGAAGTCCCATTTCTCCAGCTGATCCGCAGCCCTCCCGTCCCGTCTCCTTGCAGCGTGGCGGACCAGGGAGAAGTGGCGGAGCGGGGAGCAGAGGTCGAGGGAAGGCGAGAGGGGTGGGCCGAGTAAGGTAAGGTTAAGGATCCGAGCGGCTCGAAGCGGAAGCCTCTGCCCACGGAGCCACGCGTGGCGGCCGGCCGGGGCCATGCCATGCGACGGCATGGCCCATGCGAAGCTGCGGCGGCGTGGCTGCCCCGCCGCAAACTTGCCACGCAAGCAAGGAGCCGCCGCCGGCAGGAGCTGAGGCTGCTCCCGGATCGAGATGCAGACGTGTTCCAGGGCGAGGGGGCTGCCAGTGCCGTTGCTCTCGCTGCCTTGTTAGAGGTAAGCAGGCCCACAGGGAGAAGGAGGAGGAGGAAAAGGAGGAGGGAAGAAGAAGCAGGAGCGTTCGCTGTAAACTTCTCAGAGAAGCCTCCAAACTTTCTCCAGGATGAACAAACTCCGGAAACTTTTCCGAGGCAGTGGGAGAGCTTTCGCGTTCATCTTCGCCGCCTCCATCATCTGGCTGCTCTTTGACATGGCAGCCCTCAGGTTTTCCTTCAGTGAGATCAACACCAAAGTGCTGAAAGAGGAGATGATCCAGCAGGAGAGGCAGAGATTCCGAGGGTGGCGAAACCCGGAGAAGAGGAGCTTGGGCAGGTGGTCCAGAGAGGAGTCCAAGGGGGCTCCTCCTCCACCCCCGCCACCCCCAGGAAGGTTGGGAAGGAATGGGAGAGATGATAGGGACCACCCGGAGGATGCTGGAGCTGGAAGACCGGAGGAGGGACTGGAAGAAGAAGTGGGAAAGGGGCAGAAGCCACCCACTGGTGCGAAAGGAAACACAGAAGTAGCTGAGGCAGCAGAGGCGGCAAAAATGATGGTCCTTCGCAGGACAATCCCCGTCAAACTGTGGTGGAGTCCACCTCAGCCCTTCTCCGTTCCCATGGAAAAGAAAGACAGAAAGGGGGGTTTAAGCTCCACCAAGCCTCTGCAAACAAAGCCATTGCTTCCCAAGGGGGGTCAGAGGACCCACGCAGCAGCTGCCACAGGGCAGCCCCTTGTCGAAGTGACCCAGATCGTGGCTTCTGTCAAAACCCAAGCCACTCCCAAGTTGCACAGGCCATCAACTGAGAGGTCCAGGGAAAGAAAAGGGGCTTCATTTCAAGTGGGATTAGAAGGAAAAGATTCTTTGGCTGCATCAAAGTGGGAATTGCCAATTGGAAGCAAACGGGATGAATCTCTGGAGAGCCCCCAAGTACTCCGTGTGATAAAAGTCCCAGTGAACAGGACTGAAGGGATAGTAAGAACTGAAGATATTCATGGTGAAATGGGAAACTTGGATTTACTAGCTAGCGAGGTGGCAGTTTCGAAAGCAGCAAAGAAGACGACGTTGGAGGCAGTAGGTGCAGGAAAGCTGTCCAAAGAGGGTGATATCAAAATGGCCCATGCAAAGGAATATCTTGGGAACAATCAAGTTGTTATTATAAGCAAAGAAGAAGCCCGGGTTGTCTTTCCAGCCACTCAAAATCTTCTGGCTGATGCCGAAGTAAATGGATGGATGGAAAAGACCATACAGCCTCCTGACAGCAAAAGCAAGCATAATAAACTGGAGGTGGTTAATATGACTAAAACAGGCCACCCTCTTACAAAAGCAATTTTGGCTGAAGGAACAAAACCGGGGAACATTGGCATGGCCAGTTTAGTTGATAAGGACCAACTAAAGAAAAACATTCCCAGTGATGATGCAGTCCATTTTGCAGAAAACACTAGGCTGCACAAAGTGTTGACCATTGATAGGACACTTACCCCAAGAGATCCCAAAGCACCAGGCCAGTTCGGACGTCCTGCTGTGGTTCCAGGGGAGAAGCGAGAAGAGGCAAAAAGAAGATGGAATGAGGGAAATTTCAACGTCTATCTCAGTGACTTAATCCCAGTAGACCGAGCCATTGACGATACAAGGCCCAAGGGGTAAGATCTGTTTTCTTGCATTGCACAGCAGAGATTTTGGTTAGCATGAGTTCCTTATTGTCCTCCTTGTCAGTAGGTTGGAGTAGCAATGGAAATAATAGCACTTCAGAAAATATAGTGATTAATTTTAAGGAAAACCACAAGTATGCATCTGGATGCTTTTCATATAATAGATGAAAACAAGTACTTTGTCCGTAGTTCTACTCTGGTTGCTGAATGAACTGCTGGATAGCTCAAGAGTTGAGCTATGTGGCTGCGAAGCCAGAGCGTGGGAGTTCCGATTCCCCACTGTGCCTCTTTGATAGGGGCTGGACCTTCCAACTCTGTAGTTCTAAGATGATTATTATGATGCCTGTATAATTTCTAGCTGCAGCTCATACTTTCACCCCATATCAATGCAGCTAATATATATATTTATAATAACTGCTTCTTCAGTTTCAATACCCAGCCTTTCAACTTCTGTCATACCAAATCATTATAGGTTAATGTACAAACACCTATCTGCCCACATAACACTATTGTGAACATCTCCCTAATAATGCTGTCATTATTGCTTAGAAGTCTGCTTCAATTTATAAAATGGTAGGTGTGTTTTAATTATTTAAGCGATAGATGCCATGTAGCTGTTTTTCTAGAAAATTTGCTTCCACAACCTTTCCCCAAGATAAATCATCATTCTTTTCATTTAGAAAATTAGGACAGTTGTTTAATAAAGCTTATTCTATGTTTGATACAAACATGTACCCACACATATCCCTATAGTTGAGCTGGAAATTAATAATAATTGGAACTGCCAAGCTGGAAGGGAACCTATGGGTCATCAAGTCCAACTCCTGTCAAGCAGGCACACTGGGGAATCAAAGTCCAAACCTCTGGCTCTATAGGCAGATATGTAAACTCTTAACAGGTGTTCACTGGAGTACAGAGAGCTCTTTGGATCATGTTTATTGTTAGGATTTGATAGGCAGTGGCCAGAGCTTGGTTAAGATACATTTTTAGACTGTACGTCCCAGAATCCTTCATTTGTCATGGTCACTAGTATGGCTACATAAAAAAGGAGGATGAGTTTCTGTAACTTTAATAGGTTTCTGGCAGAGGGAAATTTCAGCAGGTGTGGATTGCACAGATTGGGTGCATCTGATGAAAATGTCCCCTGCCACAGAACTTCTAAACATGCAAGAGCACTGCTCTCCTCTCCCTTTCATGTGCAAATACAGTGGTGCCTCGCTTAGCAACGTTAATCCGTTCCAGAAAAACCGTCGCTAAGCGATTTTTAAAAGCTCATAGAAACACATTAAAACTTTTTTAATGCATTCCTATGGGCTTTAAAACTAACCTTAGGCAAAGCTCCTCCATTGCAGCAGCCATTTTCGGTGCCTCTAAAGCTAGGCAACACAGTGGGTTCCCATTTTGTTTTCCGGTGGCCATTTTGAAACCACCGATCAGCTGGCCGAAAATGGGGGCTTTGCGGTGATCACTTCCCCGCGATCATCGCAAAGCGATTTTTCCCCATAGGGGCCATCGCTAAGCGATCGCTCTGGCAATGGCCAAAACCCCATCGCTAAGCGATTTCATTGCTCAACAGAGCAATCGCTAAGCGAGGCACCACTGTATTTGGGTGCTGGATTCTGTGCATTTTTTCATGTGATGATTCAAATGGCCACTGACTGTGTTAGAAATTTCTGAGTGCTAGGGTGCAAAAATAATATTTCCAGGCTTTGGTAATAACTGTGCTGAACTATAAGAGAACTGTGGCTTTGAAGTGTGTGGCATTGTAATTAGTGGGCATTCCAGGACTTCCAATTGCAACATTTCTTCTGTCTTGAGTGGTGGGTTGTGCTCCAATGTTATTGGAAATAACAAGAAGAATAAAAGAGCATGATGCAGAGATAGCAAAAAGAAGTGAAACAAAGTGTGATACTTGGCATTTTTGGAAGACCCTTGGCTGGTAAATCTGTCCCTAGCGAGCACTTGATGAGTGCTAATTCTAACCATCCCTTTGGATCCTCTCTTGTGGTGATACTGAAGCCAAAAGCATTTTGTAATGAACAAGGTGGAAACTTCTAGTTTCCTTTAAGCACCTTCTAAGACCTGCCATTAGATGGAGTGATACAGCAGATTTTGGCAGTCGTGAAAGGTGAGCAAGTGATTAGATTTAATTTATTATGATTGTATTTTTACTTCCAGAGAGAGGTGTTTATGGGATTTGTTTCTCCTCCAGGTGCCAAAATAATTTGGCTGGACTGGAGTTCCAGTGGGTATGTGAGTCCACCTTGACTTTACCTGTCTCTCCAGTGATTTTGGGTAGTTTTTTGTTCTAATTATTGTACTGGTACTTTGTTAGCTTTCTTGCATCCACTTTTGACTTCTTACAAAATAAAGCAGGTTGCACCTTTCTTTCAAATAAATATGTGTAATATGTGACTGTACCTCCTTAAGTGTGCAGGGGTTTGTGGGATTTGCCACAAGCAGGCATGCTTAGCAGTCTATTCCTATTCAGTTTGTATTCACTTTGATTCACTTCCCAGTAAATGGGAATAGAATTACAAAGTAAGTATAGTTAGGGTAGTATTCTGGAGTCAAAAAAAGGTGAGGCAAGTTTAGCTTCAAGGAAAACACCCCGGACAATTATGGGAGTTCTAATGCAAGCATCACGATATTCACTGGAAACTGGAAGTGTGCCCATCAGATTAGATAGGCCACATTACTACTGAAAACGTAACAAAATATTTGGCGACAGACAGGTTTCTTCCAAAAAAAGAGACTGTTTCTGTAGCCTTGAATGTAGAGCACAAGGATTTCCTTTTTGCTTGAAGAATACCATTGGCCTTTAGAAGAAGCAATATTCGTGCCAAGAGAATCGTGCTTGATACCAGCTGCCTCTAAAATAACACAAGAGCTTCCAGTCAATTGCAGAAATGGGCTGTGCCAATTGGGATAGGCCAGTTTATGGACTGCCAAACAAACACTGAGTCACTGACACAGAGCCTGAGCGCTTGACTTTCGTCCACATCAGCAAACCAAATTATTTGCTCTTTCTATTGTCAAGGAAGCATGAATGCATTTCTGACTCTATTTCCCCCCACCCCTTACAGTGGGTATGCTGTAACACATTCACTATTGCATACAATTTATTTTTTTAAATAGCTTGCTCTCTGTTATTTGTTTCCTTTCCCCCAGTTTACATTTGTGAGCATTTAAGGTTTAAATACTTCCCTTTACTGTAGGGCACAGACAAACTATATACAGGCAGACACAACTTGGCATAGAACAGGTGCTTTACATTTGATCACATGGTAGCTATCAATTATTTGTGTAAAGCAGACAGAATCAATGCATTAGCCGCAGCATCACCTTAATGTGAGCTGACAGGGTCTCACAAAGCAGTGTGGTTCCATGCATGGGTTTCATGCAAGAGAAAGGCAACAAGAAGGATAGTTAAAAAAAAAAGATAGTGCAATTGTTTCTCTTTTGAGAATGAGTTCCTATTTTGTTCTCTAACAAAATGAGTTCCAGCAATTCTTTCATTAAGTAACTAACTGGACAGTCGTATTTATTTAGGTTTATATTATATTGCATTCAAAAGTATTCATTTGTGCATTTCCTAGTTAATGTTTGTTTGGGATTGTGAACCGGAAAACTAGATCTGGTGCAATCCAGAATCAATAAAAGAACTGTGTATTTATCATAGACGTCAGTGGAAAGTTGAGTTCACTTTGAGTCCACAAGATAACATTTGGATCATTCATGCTGCAATTGGAGCGATTCAGTTTTGCTGCAGCTTGATTCTCAACCTGTTTTATACAGTACTTCTGTTTGGATTAGGTGATTGCAGGGAGGGTGTGGATTGTTTTGGTGCCAGTGTCCACACTGGCCCCTCATTCTGATGTGTTTTATCTGCTCCCACCCTCTGCCAATCCCCAGCTCTCCTTTTTTAATGGTTCATTTGGAGGTCCTATTGCAATCCATTTTCTGAGAGAGATATCTTAATTTGCAGTGTTGATACACATACTATTTTAATATTAGAATATTAATAAGATGACATTTTGGTCCAACTTCATACAAGACATCAAACAAATAGAATATCGTAGTCAAATCTAATTAAATTGTTTTAAAATTATGAGAACTCCATATCCAAGGATACATGAAAGCACAATTCTGCCCGTATAAAATAACATGTGCAGAAAAGTTTTAAGAACACAGCAACGTGCCAGTAAAATGCCTCAGTTAAAAGTAATTCAGAACAGATGGATTTTCTGTTGTTTCTGAAATATAACAACAGAGGAGACCAGCCATACATCCCATGGAGAGGTTTCCACAAACTGGAGGCTGCTACTAGAATGAGCCTGTTCTTAGCTTCTGGCAATCTAAGGGGTCTCAAAGTTAGACCAGTGGGCAAAGGCTTGCAACACATCTAGCTGTCTGTAAAAGCCCAGCTAGACCTGATTAGCCTCATTCCAGCTCCAGCTTAAAACACGGCTCTTCAGTCAGGTTTTTGAGCTCTACTGATTGTGGTCTGATTTGGTCACAGACTTCTGTTACAGTGTTTATGGTTTTAAATTGTTTTAAATAATTTTAAAGTGTTCATTGTTTTTTACAGTTACTGTATATTGTGTGTAAGTTGCCCTGAGACGCTTGATTTATGGTGGAAAATAAATACTTTAATAAAACAAGTTTGGGTGCAGGCGTTTTTTGAAACAACTTATGCTCTGATTATGTGGCATATAAATACTATTGTATTAACTGCAGTTTGCCTCCTGCTTCCCAATGTCCATTTTGCAGCAGTATCCATGAAGGTGGAAATTTCCTTTATACCAAGGAGGTCTCATCAGGTCCATCAAACTTGACTCCCAGTGTATCTCCAAGGCTTTTGTTAGAAGCTGTTTGCACCGTTTGCTATCTTTTATCTAAAGGTGTCAAGAACAGAGCCGAGAGTCTCTTGCATGGAAACCATGGGCACTAACAGTGAGCTACAATCTCTTGCCAGAAAGGATACTTGG